GATGATTCGGATGATGATGATGATGATGATTCGGATGATGATGATGATGACGATGATGATGATGATGATGATGATGACGATGATGATGATGATGATGATGATAAGCTGAATGACCAAAAAAGCGCTCAAAAATTGCCAATATCTCTGTTAGTTTATTCGATGACACAAGTGAACTGACTGCATGAAAACATGCTTCTTTTCAAGTAATCATGGATTTAGTGTTGTCATTCGAACACACAGAGGGATTGTTAATCCATCAAAACCGTTCCAGCCTAGAAAGTGACAACCGAACTCGGTGGCACACCCATCATCTGCAGAGTATCCACGATCGGTGGGCTTACAGCTAGACATATTTGGAACGGCTCAGCCCTCCCAACCGGGATCAGTCTATCCACCTGTCTCCATATTATTCCTAGGGTAATGTGCTCGATTCTAGCGGATAACTAGTGAACATACAGCGAAATGCATAAATCAGTATTGTAACGTTGCTCATGTGAGAGGATTAGGGTATCTTAACGGAGACTTCATCTTGTAAGTGAACGCTGTCTGCACCGAAACTTCCAGAACTACTGTACAGCTGTTTCATCCTTATTAAGAGTCTCGCAAAATCCCAGGGAGTCCCGAACGCGTGACCTCCTGGCTGTTAGTTTGAACACTTAACCCCTCTGATAACGACGCGCAAAGTCCTGCATTGAATCGCTCTGCTGCCAAGTTCCCTAGAGTTTCTGACGAAACTCTTGGTATTTGGATGCTCTTGTGTAGCCGACAGTGGACAGTTGCCAAACAGAAATAAACGGAACCACTCCGCCATGTCATCTGTTTACTTTTCAAGTGCTGTCAACTTAAGAACTACTACTGCTACGCTACGCATGTGATCACAATATACCGTTGCTGGTGTTTTGCTTCTGTACACAGATTTGCGATACTACTGAGTTCTCCGGATAAGTAGCTCATTGATTTAAGGCTCCTTCCGAAATGCACTCCTTTGCAAACAAAGTCGGTTGCGGGAGACTCACTTGGCACCCAGCTGAATCTCTCGTTTATGGTGTTTTTGCTAATTGCGTGCACTTTGGGTTCAAGTAGAGCATAAGAATGACGGAAACTGGGGAACTACGTCGACCTGATGAGCCCAAAGAAGGGCGAAACCGGTTGTGGGCCGTCAAAGAATGTTTAGCAGCCTTATGAGTAGTGTATCACGATCTTTAGAATAGCCCGTTCTATTTAAAACAACCCAAGGTACTCATTCTCAAGAATAACTACGTTGAGAGCCAACAATTTGACAATCTGTTTTGTTCAAAACATTGTATATTGGCGCAGGAATGGAGAAACGAATGTTATTGAATCACATATATTGACCTCTGCTGAGCTGTCTCTCGTGTCAATCACCAGGGCCGGTTGAATTTTTCTTGCACCTTTGAACGTACGTATTATTCAGCCACACCCAGATTAAGGTTGAGTCACGCATGGAACTATCCAATGCGAAAAAGTCCAAGGCCAAAGTGAGTCGGAAGTCCAGATCAAATTTGTTACTTATCATGTCGGATTCGAAAATACCGGTATTCCGCACGGTGGCTTCTGTCCAGAAACCTTCCACATGCGTATATTATGCGTTCGTTATCAGGACACCGTGCATATGCAAATCACATTTCGTAATAACATGTATGCATGCGTATTGCAAGCATCTGCGCTTAGCGTGCAAACCACAGCGTGTGTATTCAACAACCAGACTGCAGGTCGACTAAGGCAGGAAAAGTGGTACACAAACGCAAGCCTTTTCTCTCGCGGCGATAGGTAAAGAGGAAAAACGGTTTGGTGGAAGATACTTTTAGAAATCAGTCCACAAGTTAACGGTCGAGCACCATCGGTCATTAGGTCAATAAGAAAGTCGGCTTATAAGCCCACGAAAAATCGTTCATCTGTAACACTCTCTAGGTACCTAACTGCCATGCCACCCGAGGGAAGCACGAGGGCTGGGATACCGTCAGTTTGCCCAAGCCTAGAAAGGGAAAGTCGAAAGGTAGAGGTCGGGTTCGAACCACGGACCCTCCGGTCAGTAATTCCGCGATCTAACCACCTGAGCTATCTCGCCCTCAATAAGCTCCGCCCAAAAAGTACACCGACTAGACAAGATAGATTAAAAATGATTTACTCTTTATGGCTGGGTCATTGATTTCAGCCAGTTCTGCGCGTCCAGAGACCTCATTTCACAAGGTTTTATTGCTGTGTGTACAGCCGACGGTGCCTAATTTTCATCGTCAGTTTTTTTCCCAAATCGTCAGAATGTTGTGACCACATGTGCGTTCCGACTACGACATTGTAGCCGTCGGAACGCGCATTGTAATATGATGTGTACTCAATAGACTATAAACTTATCCACTGACGCGGAAATCCTGAAATCGTTTGCTTCGGCCGTTTTGTTGATTGGTTCTGACTCCAAAGATCGTTTTCTACACCGATGCACTCAACGTTCCGGTATTGGAAAGCTGCTTCGTTTAGCTCATCATGCACTTCTGGTAGCAGGCGATCACACCACATAAATATGATGATTAACTCGTTTCAAGTCATATGCGCTCACCTTCGAGAAGCCGTCGCTCATGAACCTGGTACTCGACATGTCACGTGATAAGAGTTTGTTATTAGGCTTGGCGTTTAGTTGCTGATGTGCCACCATACTGATTTAAAATGCTATCCAGAAGTTTGTGTGTGAGTACTTCACATGCGCGCTACTGACGTCATCCAAACAAAATGAACCCCATGTAAAGTAATTCTCTATTCACCACTTTCGTTTTCCGTCCAAGAAGTTGGGCTTCTTGTTTGAAATCAAAGGTGGATAATTGAGTTCATCTTTTCGTTCCTGGAGACCTTTAAAAAAACCGAGTTGTCTCGTTGATATTTTCCGAAAGTTACCGGCACGATTACGCCAATATAAGATGTATATCGTGCCCGAATGTTGCATTATATGCATACGTTGTTCTTTGTATGCATTTATTACTTAATAAACGATTTGATTTCAAACTTTTCAGCTAACCGCATTTTCCTTCAGTTAGTCACAGTTCATCAGCTCATAAACCATGCAGCGATGTGCAGTGGTACCAGCTGTCAAAGCTTCCTTCATAGAGGCTAAGGATGATAAAGGGATGAGGTTCACTCGTTGGAGGCGATGGCCCAATCTGAGCAATGCCGACAAACGGATCTGTGTTTGAAGTATGGTACGAGGTGATAGCTTTGATGAAAGACTGTCACTGGCTGTGTCACAACTATATCTGCCAGCGTCACCAACCATGGGTTTGTGTTGTCCCGGGGTTTCCATCCTGGAAGGGAGCGGTCACCAACACAACTGAGTTGACTAATAAGGACGTACATGCTTCGTTGCCAAGCCACGGACTGACCGCCTCTGGCCGTTTCCATGCTATATACGGCTTGGTGAAGAGGGTAAAGAAGGCAAAAACAGTCCTCTCGCATACGAAGTACATGGCCTGACCAGCGTAACCTGTGAAGTGTGACCGGCTGGTCTACCAAGGGAGAGTGGACTTTCCCGAAGATCGTCCGGTGTACGGATCTGATATTCCCACCAAACCCGCGCAATGCTTCGGGTCACTAGTGGTCCGACAGAAAGACGTTCCGAAGATCCTCCGTACGTAGCGGCCACGTCTCTGATCCCTAAAAAGGATAGATTGGACCGCGGCAACTTCTTTATTCTACTAACTGCTCGTCGCCGATTAGTATTGACTTTATTAGTGTTAGAATGAATTGGGTTACATCCAACGTATTGCCTGACTAAACCAACAACTAGGACTCAGGTTGGATGGCGGGCGCGATGGGTACTTGTTTTCGCTTGTCACTCTGAGTAGAAAAACACCCATTTATTCACAAAGACCATGTGATTAATCACCATTGTGTTTTACAAACACTGAAGGGTGTATCCAGAACGAATAGATTTTCGGTAACGCCTTTATGAGGCTTTTCCCCACTGCGCAGTGTTCATTGTTCCCAAACATGTGAATACATTCGTTGCTGTGTGTGTGAGCGGGGAACTACATACATGTTATAAACAGTTCGATCATTCGTTATGCTATCTTTTCTCGCATGCTACTTACATACTACTCACACGTTACTACTTCCTTAAATACTGCCAGACATGTGATACGCATCGCAAGATACATAAATCTGCCGTAGAATAGGACGCACCAATGCAGCCCCTGTTTCCACGTGCTCCACCCTACAAACCGTCGGGGTTTTTAGTTCGCTCACTTCAAGGCAAAAAAGGCGAAGCATTCAACTCCTTTCTTCTGGAACGATGTTTGAGAAGACGTTATGGAGATTTAGCCTCTTTTTAACTAACAGAACAAATTACCGTTATCTTATTAACCAATTTGAAAAAGATTCTAAAGACAAAGTGCGCCCAATTAATAACCAGAGTCATCACTAGGCGGATGAAATCGACGAAGTATTCACACACACACACACACATCGGCCTACTGGTTACATTATCATGGTTCGCACCACTGGGAAACAACCGTGAGTGTACACACTCCGGTTGGAGGCTCATGTGATCTTCCCGTAAGAGAAATGCGATTAATCTGGCGTCTCCCTCAGTTTCACTTATATCTTCGGGATGGACTATTCCACTAACAAGCCCAAAGCAGAATGCACCAATTTTGCAAGCCGAATCGATACGATATCCTGTAGAATATCCCATCGTCAATGTTATGCAGCCTAAGGATGGTCTTAGATTTCAACTGGGTCAGGACCTAGTTTCTCATATAATATGGTGTAACAGTACCACTCCTAAGTCTGGCGCTACTGAACGAAAGCAAGAAGAACAATCTGATGTACCAACTCAACTGCAACAAATTCTACGTTGAACAAACTGGGGGGAGACTATGCACACGAATAAAGGAACACAACGCGGCCGTCAGGATATATGACCCCCTGTTCTTGATATCCAAGAGGATGACCAAGAAGGCCACAAATTCAATCAAGGAAACACAAAAAATTTTGGCATATGGAGACACGAGACATGGAAGAGAATATCCGGAAGAGTGGAACTCCACGGCGGATTCCATCAACCGGTGCATCGAACTTGATCCAATTTACGCACCCCTACGTGCAAAAGACCAACATCTCAACCGAAACACTCAAGGAGGACCGAATATTGGATTCACAAACAAAGAAACAAGGAACTCCTTGAAGTCAAATCAATAAACGTCACCACCGACCAGATTACGGCGACAGAGGATGCCAAGCTCAAAGATCACGTGGGCATCGGCGAATGAGGACACAGGATAACGCAGCAACCAATGAAACCGCCCGACCGAACAACCAATCGCGATTAAAGGTCATCTCCGGCTAGCAGCACGTATATTAACACACACGTAACAGCGTAACAACACGTTCAACGCACAACCACTAACCCACCGCTACGCACCACTACACTCTCCAATAACGCACTGATGATGTCACCTCGATTGGTGGTGAGACGTTTACAACCAAATTGCCCAGCTCAGCGAAGAAGCCAACGAATTAGTGCGTGCTTCTTCGGGAACATTGCTCGCTCACTTGTGTGACCAGCATAGAACTCTTAACTCCGAAGTAAGCCAGTCCGTGACATACTGACCTCGCATACTAGTGGTTGACTCATTGACACACACACAATTGACACCCAACTGCGTGCGGACATCCTAAATGAGAGTTTGCACTGCCACAGGTCGATTGCAAACGTCTCGTCCCCAGTCGAGGAGACATCTTCAGTGCGCAGTTGAATGGGTGCTTCCTCCGTGCCTAGCTGCGTTTGTGTAGTTTTTTTGTAAAGTATCTAATATCCTATCATGTGATTGGCTAGTTGGTATATGCCCTCTGTTGCATCGGAAGACCACAACGAAACACAAACCGGGAACGGACCAACTGCAAACGAACCCGAAGCACAACAAGACAGCCATCCAACAAACCAATGGAATAAGAGGCATACAGACCACAACGCAGCCAAACAAAATCACGGCCATTCCTACAATGATGCAACAGAGGGTATATACCAACTAGCCAATCACATGACAGGATATTATATACTCTACAAAAAACTACACAAACGCAGCTAGGCACGGAGGAAGCACCCATTCAACTGCGCACTGAAGATGTCTCCTCGGCTGGGGACGAGACGTTCGCAATTCAATTGCCAAGCTCGGCGAACAGATCAACTGCCATCTGATCAACCACCAGTAAACACACCCGAGCTACCCATATTTCGACAAGTTGACAACTCATACTTGATAATATCAGCTGATCGTACTGACAATCCTAGCAACTCACGTTTCAGCCAATCCAGTTCGATCTCAACTCGAATGCGCAGTCTCCTCTACACAAAATCCTTCGATTAACGACTTGTTGCCTATCCCCAACCGTTTGCCAAACGCTCAGGAATGGAAAATGTTCAATGTCTATCTAATTACAAAACTGCATCGTCTTGTTGACGATACCTTGACCTTGGTATCTGCGGCAGCTTACCTATACTCACTCCAGACCAATCGGGACTTTGGAAACTGAGTCAGACGAAGGTCTTATGTTGCTCCCAGAACAAACTTTATTTCTGTTGTCTGTAGGTTAGCACTTAAGCCCAGACAAATGTGATCAGTTGCACTGAGCACATCTCATTTCATGGCAAGGCCAAATAAAATCTGAGTGTTGACGATCTTGGCGAGCTAGAACTAAAAACGTTCAGCCAACGCAAGGCGAAACTCGCTGGTCAAGATCATGGGAACCGGCCAAGTTAGAAAGATACACGCGAATCGATTGGTATCGATCCGGAGACCACTGTGTAAAGTACACTGCAATCAGCGGACCTTAACTTACGAAATCGAGAAGCGACAGTGATCGGAATGAGAACATTTGCGATCTCATACTGCCTGTCCACAGTCGCTGTTGGTGCGTCACTTCGGCAGGTTCTGACCCTCAACGAACTACACCATATTCATCAACATCCCCAAAAAAGATCAAAATTCAAGTTGAATTTGCTTCGTCTAGTATGTGCTGGGAACTTTGAGTAATCTGAGCACTGGGAAACGGTGACAGGTGTGCTCAAGAAATGCCCGTTAATCCCTAGACCATGAACTTGAAGTGTTCCCACGTGGCATTTACCAACGGCAAGCGGTTGATCATAGTGAAGTAATCCACGAAGCTTATTTTCCCGACTGTGACTTTTCGAATGGATGTAGCAAGAAACATACTACCAACCATAAACTAGGAGCTAAGGTGTGTGCAATGCACATGCCACTCTTAGGAGGACTTCCAGCTCCTCAAAGGTTACTGCGAATTGCCCGTAATGGCCATACTCGTAGCAGTGTTGATGCCTATTTCGGTTCTCTGTTGGAGATCACGGGACTGGATGAAGCGCACCTAGTCCAACTCACAACTCTCACAGTATTAAACGGTTTTAGATCCTCGTGCCGTTTTGTGGGGAAGTTCTCTATGGAAAGAGTTCATTGTTGGAAGTGTTTTATTCTCCCACAAACATGGACTGTTCCCATCCAACAGTACAGGTTGCTGAAAATTGTTCGACGGCCCACGACCGGTTTCGCCGTACTTGAGGCTCATCAGGTAGGCGCAGTCCCAGAGCTTCCGTCAACCTTATGTTCTACTTGAAACCAAATTGCATGAGATTAGCGAAATACATCCAATTGCAAACAAATTCGGTTTCGCGAGAAACTCACCGGGAAACCTGCTGAATCTCTCGTTTGTGATGTTTGTATGTTACGAATATACATGTGTCGCGATATCTCGAATACCGTAGCGACTGAAACATGAGGCGACCTGGTGCAGCACATTTAATTGCCTGGATTCAGCAGGAATCCAGGTGAGTCCCTCGCAAAACCAAATTCGCTTGCATGTAGTTCGCCAAGCACAGATTTAGATGTACCCCCATTCATAATCTAGTAGAAAATTCTACACCCGCTTTATTTCCGTATACTCTTGTCGAGGGAATAAATGAATACCATTTACAGGGTACAGTTTGCATCTGACCCCGTGGCAATGCAAACAATACTAAATAATCTAAATAATTATGCCTCGAGGTTTGGTATGCGCTTCAAACCTGCAAAGTGTAAAGTGCTACTGCAAGACTGGGTGGGCTCGAATCCTAGCCTCATGCTT